ATAATAATGCATTAATTTCATGAAGTAACGTTCCCACACCGCGAAAAGATATTAGGAATCGAATCATTAAGTATTATGGACATTATCTTTGTAATTTACCTTGTACATAACCTTTTGTAATTTTCGGGAATAATATCGAAGTGTGAAAAATAAATACTTATAAATAACTTTATAAACTTTTAAACCTTTAATCTTAAATCTATTAGACCTTAAATCTATTAGAATTTTTAATCTATTTTTAAAAAATTTGAATTAAATCTAATTATAGAGATATAATAACATACATATAATAAAGTTGTCATTATTGACATATAATATTAGATGTAGTAAAAAGAAGTCCATTATTTTTGCATGAAATTGAATGGAAAAATGGATTTCTTTTTACTACACCTAATATATATCAATAAAGATGATTTTGCGTAATACAATAATAACGAAAAGTATAAAAGTACATCGATGTAAATCTGTTTGATATAAGTGTCGTTTTAGATGGAACTCCGCGTTTAGTGGCGCCTCCACATGCACAAAACGTACATATTGAACTATGTTGTCGTGGATGATATTTCCAGTAGGTAATACACTCTTCGATTTTGTCCCACATTATGTAGAGTAAAAGTAAAGTAATATAAAATTTTCGTTTTTTAAATCCGATATTTTTAATTAAATTAACATTACTCTGATATAAACGTGTTAAGATTTTTAATTTACGCAAAAAACTCTTAGCGACATGTTTATAACTATATACTGTTAAAAATATAATGTACTTTTAAAAGTGACTTTATTAATTCTAATCCTTCGTTAACGATAATATCATGAAAAATTATAATGTCATTATAAAAAGTAATTATTTATCTTTAAAAAGTTTTAGAAGAAGGCTTAATAATACAAAATATAAATAATAAGGAGCATACAGCCACGACGCAAGATGTTTTTAGTGAAAGTCGTATATTTAAAAAGTTTTTAATATAATAAAGTAGACGTTTCGATCAAGTCTTGACCATCATCAGTATAATAAGAATATTATAAACGACTCTCATTGACTATCATATCGCCAGACAAACATAATCGTAAGATTAAAGTTGAGTCAACTCTTGCGACAAACTTAAGATAGCTGTTACGAGTGTTATGATTATCGTAGGAACTTACGATAGACATTACGATAGATGTAGATAAGTCTTAATAAACATCTGTCAGATACGAAAATATTTTAAAAATTACAGGAACATCCATGAAATATAGATTTGTTTAAAAAAGCGAATGTCAGACTAATTATTATTAACTATGGCCCATTTTCGAACACCTCTTATATGATTTATATGATTTTACATTATTGGAATACAAAAAAAATGACTATATACTCTGAAACTAAGATAAAATAGGACACATTTTTTTTTTTATTGCTTTTGTATACTCTATCTGCTATTGAAATGGGATCCACATGTTTTTATACCTGTATGTACAGAGTCCTATTTTAAACGATTTTATCTCTTAAAATAATTATCTCTTAAAATTATATTTGTTTTCAATTTTGAAGAAAAATGTTTCAGATAAATATGATATGGTTTGAAAGTTCACAAATAATCACAAATGATACGATAATTTTTTGAAAAAAATGCATTCTTCGAGATTACATACAATACATTATCATTTTTTTTATTTTAAATTTATGTGATATTTATTTTTTTACAAAATATATTTCTTCTAATTTTTGTACTTATAAAAGTATTAGAATTATTAAAAAATCAATAATTTGCTAGATATTTAAAACAAAAATCCTTAGATATCTTATATTTTATTCTTACATTTTAACATGGATTATAAAATATTTCGTCAACTATTCATTTTTTAATGAATAAGTGTATCTTAAGGCTCGTGGCCACTCATTACAGATGAATAATGTCAAATTAATAATATCACAAAGTGAGAACAGACATAATAAAAATTCTTGCAAAATATATTAAAATAGAAATATTTTCTAATAAAGCAATATTTACACTTGCAAAATATACTGAAAATTCTCTTTATTTTGATTTTAATAAAATTTTATTTCTCAATTTAATAGCTATCATATATAGCTTGTTTCATTTTTTATTAGGTTTTTGATTCAATTTCAAATATCTGATTATTTATCGATTATCAGAACAGGAAGAGAGTTTCAGTATATTTTACAAATTTATTTTATCGATTGCAAATGTTGTTGTATTAAAAAATTGTAATTTTATTTTTCTCGCTTCTAACGTCATAATCCAAAATAGTTGCAGTGAGTAGACAGAGATCTCAATACTTTACACAGAATAATAAATTGAATCAATCGATGTAAAGAAAACACACACACACACACACACACACACACACACACATACACACACACACACACACACACATATATATATATATATATATCAGCTTAAAAAAATACTTTTTAGCGTTTCGAATTCGAAGACAATCTTTTCTACTGTCGCCCTCTCGAACGCGCGTGACATACAGTGGAGTATTCGTTCCCCGAACGCGTCGATATTTGGAAAAACGCGGCTGCTTTAATTTACCATTCCGTAATAAAGAACATCCCGTCCCGTTTTGCCATATATTCGAAGCATAATTTAAACGAAATGATGTAAACGCAATGCAATTAAGTATAACAACATTCATCTTGAATCTCTAAAAAAATTTCTATAGAACGAACCTTAGTCATAAAATACATTGGCGATGTAAAGGTAGAACAAAAATAAGAGCCCAAGATTCCTAAGGGTGACAAAACTGTTCTGGGAGGACATTTTGCGAAAAGCGAAAGAAGCGGGTCCTTCGAGGATTGGCGAAAAAATTGCCTGGGACCTCGGGAGAAGACACATAGACCTTCTTCTTTTTCGTTTGACCGGCTCCGAATAGGTAAAAAGGATAACGACATGTCGTAACTCGTAACACTCGTAACTCACCCGAGCTTCCTCGAGCGAGGAAGCATACGGTACAATCGCCGCTTAGTCGCGACATCTAGCGGTACCGTTTTCTCCCCTTTCTCTTCCTAACCCCGTACCGTACATTCGGTTTGGAGCACGTCATACTCCGCCATTGTTACCCTGCCTGTCTGTGCCGCTACTCCGCTCCGCCGCCGCCGCCGCCGCTGGCCGCCGCCGGAGACGACGTCGACGACGACGACGACGACGACGACGACGACGACGACAACAACGACGACGACGACGACGACGACGACGACGACGACGACGACGACGACGACGACGACGACGACGACGACGACGTCGACGACGTCGAAGTACGGGCGTATCGTGGTGTGTCATCGAAGCCATTCATCGCACGCTCTCGAAATCACCGCGAATCACCGGACGCGAGCCGTCGCGGGATCGCGACTCGCGACAGGCCTTCTCCTTCCCTGGCTCCTTGTGTGTGTGTCTGGTATCGTTCACGCTCGCTCGCGTTCGCCGCATTCACGAGAATCGCGAGATCGCCTCGTTACGGTTCCGTGCACCTCGACGCCGTTTGAAATACCACCTTGTCTGGAGGGCGGTAGTGAGACGGAGAGAGAAAGGAAGCGAAAGAGAGACAGTGACAGAGGGAGAAAGAAGCGCCCTGGCCGTTCGCGAAGGATCGTCCTATACGACGTTCCCTACTGTCACTTTCGTGCCGAGACCGATACGGATCGCACGAAGGCGCGGGTGTCCCGACCGATGCCCCGTCGACTTAGGATTTAGCCCGGTAGCAGTGCGATCGTGCTGTGCGTTCGTTGTTAGTGCATCATGTGATTACTTCCACATCTCTGTAATCTCTTCGCCACGGTGACGGATACTAGCCAGCGTGAAGGTTAGTAGCTTGAAGGTTTTGTTGCTTCTCACTACTCCGCGATTCTCCGCGACGTCCCCGCAGTCTACTATACTTCAACGTGCATTGGGAGTCGAGATCTCGAGGACTCTCTGGTCTCTCGCCGCTCACGGTGATCGCGTCGATCACCTTCCGTCTGTGCTTGACGACCATTCGCCCTTTCCTCGATCGTTATTCCCCCCTTTTGTTTTAATTACCTATGTTTTCCTGCGTTTTTGTGGCACACTAAAATGGGTTTTCTGTGTTTTTAGCGGTAACACCAAAACGATGCGTTTTTAAAAAGGAAACAAAGAAAGGATGTCCAGTTAGAACGGTTGGAAAATCCAGTTAAATATACTTTTTTTGAGTATGTTTTTGTTAGTCAGAGCGGTCCTTATTCTATATAATAATTTTAGTTATAGCGTCGACAGGAGCAGAAAAGATTTAGAACTGACTGTAAGGACTGACGGTCAGTCCTGACTAGCAAATTTGCTAAATCGCTATAGTCCGCTGCCTGTAACGTAGACAATGAAAGAAAGTTCGGTTTAGTTAGAACTACCCTTTAGTGTCATGTATTCAATCCTTTTGAAGCATACCGCGCAGTGATTTTGGAAAGCAGGTTTTTCTCTATAAAGAGGCTTTATATACCTGTAAGGTTTTATATTATTGTATTAAATTTGTATTATTAATATTTGTATTTAATTAATTTTGGTGTTATTTTATTGAAAATAATAAGACCATTCCTAAACATGGCTGCTAACAAATGCTTTATGCTCGGTAACTTAATATTTTTTATTTCAATTCGAATAATATTGAACGAAACATTGGTAGAATTAGTTTAAGGAATATAATACATATATTGTAACTTAATTTGGATTATTAAATATAGTTAATAACTTTAAAAGTAAAATGATATTTTATTCTAAGGTAATATTTTTTTTACAATAAATTTTTTAGTCAATCGATTGCGAGTAAGAGAAGCGGTCAAAATCAATTGGAATAATATTACATTTATATATATTTAAATAAATTTATCTCATACATATGACTATATGCTGATTACTTTTCAGACTTGTAACACAATTAAACTAAAATAATAATTTCCCCGAATTTAATGTTACTAGCATTTTAAAAACTGTAGAGAACTTATTGTGAAATGATCTTTAGTTTTAAAGATGACTATTAGCATTTTATTAACATTATTAAATTGCTTCTCAATGTAATTTGTGATATTATGTATTTTTAGCTTTAGTTTAAGACTGTTTCAAGATCGACAAATTCAGCGCAATTTCGCTAGAAATTGTTGTTAAGATATTGTTAAAGACGATTCGAAGTGAGTCGAAACTGTTATATTATTATATATAATCCGATACTCTCTGTTATATGTATACGTATTATTATATGTATACGTATACGAATGAAGATATATGTAAATGTTAAATTATGGTACACAAATTACCGCGCAGATCTTACTCTCATTTGCTTTTTTAAATTTTGTTTTTTAGTTACATCTCGAAGGACTAATTAATAATTGTTATTTTTTTTAATAAGAGTTACAATAATATTATACAACAATAAGCATCAAGATTTGCTTTAACCGAATATGGGCTGCTTTACTTGTTTCTGTGGATCATTTCTCAATCGATTTTTTTTTCATTTATTATTGTTAATAATTTTAGTTATTCAGGAATTTATTAAGTGCGTGTCTAATCTCTGCGACAAAAAGCGACTAGAATTGGAAAGTTATACTTTCCGTATAAAAACGAATATATAATACCTACATATGAAATAGTTTAATAAGCTCAATATTTAACAATATAACTTCATAATTTTAATGAAAATATTCTTCTATTTTATCTTAATTACTTTCTAAAAGCATGTCTGTTTATTATTAAAATATTTTTTTATCCAGGTTCTAAATCGCCAAATTGTAGATATTCAAATACAATATTATATAGAAAAATCTATATATTTTTTTATAATTATTTTTATTTTTAAAAATATGTGTAATA